GATTCGGTTTGATGAATTTTGGTTCGGTTTGGTACTCATCGATGGTCACTTTTAATGGGTTTAAAAGGTAAGTTAGGCCCATCTAAGTTAGGCCCAGCAAAAGCGTTTACACGCTCCGACTGTGCGTATATCGAAGTAGCGAAGCTCTCATTGAGTAACTAACGGCTATATTCCCTTTGAATTTCAAAATTTTCTCAAGTCCAGCGAAGAAACGACGATGGCCGCCGAAACGAGGGTTCAGATCTCAGATCCAGAGTCAGACTTTCTGAACTCGAAGCAGGAGACTGGTTACGAGTGGGAGCTTTTCAAGGAGAACGTCCGGCCATTGAAGAGAGGTCGCAATGTTGGTATTCTCAACCACGCTCTCAAATCTCACTCCGACCACCAATTGAGGAAGAATCTCATCGAGAAACGAAGGTATTTCTTTCAATTTCACATCTTTGCTCTTGGGTTTTAGTCCAATCGCTCGATTCTTGTTTAATTTTGTGCTGTTTTTGTGAATTAGGAATTTGATTGAAGCCATTGATGAGTACGATGGAGACGACCCTTTATTCCCATGGATTGAGTGAGTTCCTTTATATTCCTTGATTGGGTTGTTGAAAAATTGAAACTTTTTGTGCCGATTTCACGATATTGCATCAGCTAGTTTCGGTTTCTTGAATCAATCTTTATGATGTACCAATTTGTAAACTTGAGCTTTTTGATTGGTTTCATTGGAAGGTGTATAAAATGGGTACAAGAGGCTTTTCCACCAGGAGGAGAATGCTCAGGACTGTTAGTGATATATGAGCAATGTGTTCGCAAGTTTTGGCACTCTGAACGTTACAAGGATGATCTTCGTTATCTCAAAGTTTGGTTGGAATATGTAATGTTCCTATCTTTAAACCTTCTAAATCATTCCTTCAAGATTGTTCTTTGTTATGAAGAGTACTCATAGTTTTTCGTGTTTTTTTGAAGGCGGAGCATTGCGCTGATGCGGAAGTGATTTACAAGTTCTTGGAGGTCAATGAGATTGGAAAGACACATGCTGTCTACTACATAGCTTATGCTTTGCACATGGAGTTTAGGAATAAAGTTAAAACTGCTAATGAGATCTTCAATCTCGGAATCTCTAGGTAAATGAACAGACATGTAATCATATTTCATGTTTCTGCTCCAAGTTATTGGTCTGATTGGAAAGTGGGAACTTGTGTAGAAATGCAAAGCCAGTGGAAAAGTTGAATGATGCGTACAAGAAGTTCATGGTGAGAACGATGAGAAGGTCCAACACAGCTGATGAAGTAAGAAGTTTTTCTCTGTTTGTAACTGTATATCTATGCATTATGCTCTTAGGTTTTTCACATCATAACTTATGTTCCATCTACCAGCAGGAACCAAAGGAGAATAATGACTTACCGTCAAGAAGCTTTGGCACTTTATTGTCCAGGGGAGAGAACAGTGAGTCACATTAACTTTTACTTGAGAATAGCTAAAATGTTTTGATAAGCTCTCTTACATTAGAATGTTTCTATAGATGCAAGAAGGCAGGCGTTAGGAAGTTCTAACCCACAAGCCAAAAAACTAAAGCCAAATCAGTAAGTAGTTCGATTAATGTTTTGAATTTTTCGCTTCTGTTACCTTTTTGGCATATATAAACTTCACCAAAACTCTAAATATGTTGTGCAACTCACTATAGTAAGCCCTTTGTCTTTTGCAGCTCATCCAAGACACCTTTTCCTATCTACACAGATGCAGTTTCAGACACTACATCAGGGAATCAACCAGAGTCAGACAAGTCAAAACCAGAGTTTGGTAGTTGGCTCATGCTTGGAGGCAGAGCAGAGAGGAACAAAGAAAACAATTCTTTACCTAGAAAATGGGCATCATTCAAGGTTTTGCTTCTAGCATCCTAAACAAAACTATCTCACTTGGCTCATACTATCTATGTAAATTGATCACTTACTGCATTCATATATTCTCACAGGTTCCACAGAAACCCATTGTGAGAACTGTAGCAGCCTCTGCTTCCACCTTTGAGGTTTTTGTCGATGAAGAAGAACGCACAGAGTTAGTTTGAAATCTTTTGAATGTTTTCACTACAAGACATGTTTCATCATTATGTTCATCAATCATCATTAACTTGATTATGGAATGCAGAGAGGGTGGAGACAAGAAGAAGAGTGATGAAACTATCTCATCATCATCAAACGTTCTGCCCCTTAATGACGGCCGTGAGATAAAGAAGTAAGCAAAAAATTGCCCTATAGATTCACCAAAACAGATATTATATCATGACTTGTAGTATCTAACAATGTTTCCTTAAAAACTGCAGAGAAACAGAGCTGCTGCGACAGAACCCTTTAAGACATTTCCCAGCCAGCAGCTTCCTCCGATGATGATGATCATGATATCAGACATTCATCTCTACACGATCTTCTGGTTTGAGATTTGAGCTTTTGTCTATAAAGCTCCTTGTATTTGTTTTTGTGATGTACTGGAATATATGTACCATGATGAGCCTTGCATGTTTCTGACATTTATGTGTTCTTTTGTTGTTGCAAAGAAATTAAAAAAAGTGTTCTTTTGTTGTTTTTAATTCTTACTATATGATTTGTTTCTCCTAAAGTAATCAGTCTACAAAAAAAAAAAAAAATCATTTTCCACTAATTCACCTAATTACCACTTCATGTTTTTAATCCATATATGATTTGTTTTAAATTAAGGAATCATTTTGAATTTTTTAATATAATACCCTTGATGTGGCCAAGTCATTTGTTTATATGCCATGTGACTTTTGGCCAATAATTTTTTTGTCTAGCTCTACGCAACTAGCTAACCTTTGTTTTACAAAAGAGAGAAAAATTTTAGAGTTTCATTGTAAATCAATGGATACGTATGGATGGGTACAAACTAGAAAAGATAATCAATCCATTGGGCACTTCTTCCATAGAAAATAAAGTGGCTTTAAGCGGATGGGAGGGGGCATAAAACATAATCAAGCATTAATAGCCATTTAATTTAATGATTAAAAACGAATGATGCGATTTTGGAGATAGACTTTGAGTGGTAAACAAGGGCAAATGAAAAAAAAAACCTTGGGGAATTTTATTTTGTGTTAGTGGTAGGGGCATCATTTAGTTTCATTATGACATTATCTACCCTTTAGGGATTTTAAGGGTTCCCTTTAATGCAAACTGCAAAGTATTGCATTAAGTACGTAACTAAACATAATGTATGTATACGACTGAGTCAAGATTTCTAATAAAAAAAAAAACACATTCTATGCGTAAGTAAGAGGAAATTTTATATTGTGATTAATATTAACATCAAATTATATTCAAATAGAAATGGTCTTTACGGTATTCATGTCGTCTCTCACTTTTTATTTCCTTCGCTTAAGTTTCAACTTCTCAAATAAAAACTCGAACAAAACATTGGCATTGGTTCTCCTTCTCAAAAAAACATTATGGTTTCATCATGATTTGGTTTATACATGTTTACCTTAGTCATGTGTGTTTCATATCTCCATTTCGGCTTTGATCTATTTCATAGACTTTGAAACTTTGCTCTATAGCTTTAGAGCTCTAAAGTTTCTCTTTCTCCTTCTCAAAATCATAAACCTTAACATGATCTAGTGATATCTCTTTCTCTTTTTTTTTTTCCTTCCTACAAACCTTAAACCACAGACTTTTTTTTATTGTGATTTCTTTTCTTATTTTTAAAACCTAAAAGTGAATATATATATATTTCTCTTCTTGTCAGCAAGCTTTCCTCATGCTTCTGTCGTCGTCATTCATTTGCTTTTTCAGAATGATGTTGTCAACATTGTTTTAAGGAACGGTTAGCTAAGATTTGTTTATAAATTTAAGTAGGCTCAGAGTTATGGCAACAAAAAATAGTTTCAGTGTTATAAAAAAAGGGTCCCAAACCCATCTAACCTTTTGAATGAAAACTTAAGGGTGCTACTAAAAACACGTACGTACGTACGTTCCCAAAACCCTATGAGAGCTCTTATAAGATATCACTAGGTTGAAAAACCAGACACTAAAATTGTCATTATCTTAAGCTGCCAAAAATGTAGAAAAACCCAAAAAATAAATGGAGGAGGAATTGACCAAAACGCATATAAGGATTATGGAGTAAAAGCAACTAATGGTAGTTGGAGAGAAATTAACCAATAGAAATCCCCAAAGGGCGCGTTTATTGCCATAATCTACGCCCCCTCCAAATTAACACTACAACCTATCATATTATTAAGAATTAATTACGGATTTTGCCCTTTTTTATAATGGTATTTGTGGATTTTGCCTTTTTTGAATAGTTTGTGGATTTTGTCATTTTTCAGGTTCCAAAAAAATGATTTAACATGCGTTTCACTCATTATGTTTGGGTTTAGTCGGTTTCATTTGTTCTTAGGGTTTAGTATTTGGTATAAAGTACGTATTTTGAAAAAAAAATCATAAATACGTACATTTTTAAGTGTTAAAAAGGGCAAAATCCGTAAACTATTCAAAAAATGGTATTTTCGTAAGTTTTTCCAAAAAAATGGCATTTTAGACAATAATCCCTATTATTAATATGAAAAGTGAATTTAATCAATTTATATGTGTATTATCTATTCAAATATTACCTATTATTATTAATTAAAAAAAGAAGAGTGAATCTTGGCCGTAGAAAATGAGGTTATGATAGTGATGTATCAAAAAATCAGGAAATAGCCATATCAACAAAGCAAGTAATCCCTAATTGGACTAAAGGAATTAAAGACTACGGTCTACTTTGATTATTTATGCCCTTAAAAATTCAACATATCTACATGAATTAACCTTTAAGAAACGCTTAAGGGTCGAAATTAAATAAAATGATTAAATAAGGGTCAATTCAAAAACACCAACAAAAAAGGGATTAAAATACATAAAAAGTCATTATCTCACAAAATAAATCTTTCTTTCCTCTTTCATTTTTTTAGCTCCTCTCTCTCTCTCCGGGCGCAAACGGGATGTTCTCACCATAACGCCGTTAAGTCTGGAACCCGTTTGAACGGAATTATCAAAACGGAAAGGAATATTCCGTTTGAATGGCTCTGGAACAGTTAGGATTAGGAGTGAGCGCCGTTGACGGTGGAGAGAACAGTAGCGCGCCGTCAAATGACGGTGGAGATGACGGCGTTAAGGCGGCGAGACTTCCTCGTTGGACGAGACAAGAGATTCTGGTGCTGATTCAAGGGAAGAGAGTGGCGGAGAACAGAGTCCGGCGAGGGAGAGCGGCGGGTATGGCTCTCGGGTCGGGTCAAATGGAGCCTAAATGGGCTTCGGTATCATCTTACTGTAGACGTCACGGTGTAAATCGTGGGCCGGTTCAGTGCCGGAAAAGATGGAGCAATCTCGCCGGAGATTATAAGAAGATTAAAGAATGGGAGTCTCAGATTAAGGAAGAGACTGAGTCTTATTGGGTGATGAGGAATGATGTTCGTCGGGAGAAGAAGCTTCCTGGTTTTTTCGATAAGGAGGTTTATGATATTGTTGACGGCGGTGTGATTCCTCCGGCGGTTCCGGTTCTTTCGCTTGGATTGGCTCCGGCGTCGGAGGAAGGGTTGTTGTCTGATTTAGATCGGAGAGAATCTGTGAGAAGTCCTGAGAAGTTGAATTCTACTCCGGTGACCAAATCAGTTACTGGTAAATTCAGATCAAAGCTTAAGTTTTTCATCTGAATGATTCCAATTTTAATGAAGTTCAATTTTTTTTGGATGAAGATGTTATAGACAAAGAGAAGCAAGAAGCTTGTGGAGCAGATCAAGGTTTGTTTTTGCTTGATCTATTTCCATGGAGACTTAAAAGCTTTGCTCTATGTGCTAATCTCAAACAAGTTTTAGAGCTCTAGAGTGTTTCTCTTGAGTCTTGACTGTGTAGTTATGTTGTCATCTAGATAAAAGATGTTTTCATATTCTAAAATGCATCTCTGGTGCATATCTTTTCGTTTATGTTGAAGGGTCTTCATTATCTTGTTTTCACTAAAAAATTGAGTTTGAACTTGAAGGTAGAGTGAAAGAGAAACATCCGGAAGCAGCAAACGTGGAAGGTGGATCGACATCACAAGAAGAGAGAAAGCGTAAACGGACATCTTTTGGTGAGAAAGAAGAAGAAGAAGAAGGAGAAACAAAGAACATGCAGAGTCAGTTGATAGAGATACTAGAAAGAAACGGGCAGTTGTTGGCGGCACAGCTTGAGGTTCAGAATTTAAACTTAAAACTAGACAGAGAGCAAAGAAAAGATCACGGTGATAGCTTAGTCGCTGTTCTCAACAAGCTCGCAGATGCTGTGGCAAAAATCGCGGATAAGATGTAGATATAGTCAAGTTAGTTGTATATCGCTTCCACATTTCTTCTCATTCTTCTTCTTCTTCTTCTTCCTTTTTGTTTCATTTAGCACCATTGTTGATTGAATATTGATGCCACCACAAGCGGCTCTTATACACATCTTATATAAACATTGAGATTTATACGGTTTAGGACATCAATTGTCTTAGTTTTTTAGTTGCATAACATGAAGTGAGTTTTGTTGAGTTTTCAGCTTCCCCTAATAACTGGATTAATACATAAAATCTTGTACTAAAGTGCAAAAAAAATGGATTAATACATACTTGTCATATGACCCTTGAACAATTATATACAAATAGTTCCTCAATTTGTTGGAAAAATGACTTTGGTATATGCAGGTTAGAGATCTGCCACTTTTTGTTGTTTGGTAATCTGATAGCTACTTTGAAGAAGATTTTGGTAATTAACATCTTCTTTTTTAATCAATAGAAATTTAATTGAAACCGTATCTAACTCGAACCTATTTTTTTGTCCGGATTGGTAGTTATCTATATACTTCCCATTAAACTTAAGAAGAAAAAAAATGGATTTAGTGCAACATGAATTATATGTCATATTTAACATCTTATCGTGAGATTTCATGTGGTTAATTGCTTGATACTGAAACCAAAAGTTGTACTAAAATACCAAAACTCAGTGATGCAAAATATCAAATAAGGTCCCATAGTACTTTGGATTATCTTTCACAATAAAGTTAAAAAAATTCACATAATTCCAGTCCAAAATTTGTTATTTCGTCAGTTACGATAAAAAGACAAGTAACAGTATCATAAAAGCCGCACGATATGTTTGACCACTGAAATTTCTGTACGAACGAACTTCTACTTCCATAGAGGTAAGTTAACTGACCAACTTTTTCGAGTCAAAAACTTGGATCATCAGACACAAAACTAGTAAAGAAAAATTCACAGAGATGTCTATTTTCGTCATTTAACATACCCTCATCTGGCGCCAATCACACGTCGCGCTGACATAATCTTCCCTCATTCGGATCGCTGACGTGTACGGTCCAGATTAAACTCCTTCTCTCAACTAGATTCTCTTCTTCTATCTCTCTCTCTTTCTCCGTCTATTTCATTCTCTTCAAGTTTCGGCCTTCGGAGAAAATATTAACAATCATCTCAATTTTGGATCTTGAGAAGAAAATTGATAACTCTCTTTGTTTCTCAAGGTGGTGGTAGATCTCGAATCGGGAAAATTTTCGAAATTGGGAATCTTTGACAAAAGAAAATTGATAAACTTTTTCTTAACTTGGATCTCTGTTTTTGAATCGTTTAAATTGGAGAAGAACCCTAATTATTGTTTCCGTTCTTGGAGATCTGTTCTCTGGACCGGGACTCTAAAGGGTAGCGATTTTTGAATTCAAGAGTTTTGCTTTCTGAATCGGATTCGTTTTTGAGCAAAGTGTTGAGATTTACATGCTTGTGGCTCGATCTGGTTGTTCTAGAACCCTAATTCGAATGGGCAACGATGAAAACTTGATGGTATTGGCGGATGTTGAGGAAGGTGAGATTCCTGATTCTGGGAACACTGAGATTGAAGTTAAGCAGAAGACTACTACTACGGCTGATGTTGGCGGAGACGTCGATGTTGGAGGAAGAGGAGGAGGTGGTTCTATTGGCAACTCTAGGGTTTGGACAATGGAGGATTTGCTTACTAAGTATCCTGGTTACCGTCTATATGCGAATACGGGTTTATCTAATTTTGCTTGGTCTCAAGCTGTGCAGAACAAATCTCTTAATGAAGGTTTGGTAATGGATTATGAACCGAGAGAGAGTGATAAGATTGTGATTGAAGATAGTGGTGATGAGAAAGAGGAAGGAGAGTTGGAGGAAGGTGAAATTGATTTGGTCGAGAATGCTTCTGATGACAATTTGGTTGCTAGTGTTGAGAAGCAAACTGAATCTGTTGTGTTGATAAGTGCTGATAAAGTGGAAGATGATCGAATTCAGAAGGAGATAGATTTGGAGAAGAATGTGAAACTGATTCGTGGGGTTTTGGAGAGTACTTCGTTGGTAGAAGCACAGACGTAAGTCTATCCAGAGAATGGAGAGATCTTAATTACTTGATGATGATGATGATGAAAAAATTCAAACATCTGTTGGAGTTTGATTTTTTTTTTTTGTCCATGTTTTTTCTGTTTCGTTTTCAGCGGATTTGAAGGAGTTTGTTCCAGAATTTTGGGGGCTTTAGAGTCTTTGCGAGAGCTGGTTTCAGATAATGATGATTTTCCGAAGAGGGATACTTTAGTTCAATTGTCATTTGCTTCTCTTCAAACCATAAACTCTGTATGTGCTTCTCAAGATCCGTTCCCTCACTCTATTACATTCCGATTCCATGTACCTAATATCTTATTTTTTATTGTCAGGTCTTTTGCTCGTTGAATAATGTTTCCAAGGAGCGTAATAAGGAGACTATGTCAAGGTTGCTGTGAACTCGTGTTTTTACTGTGCCAGCCTTTGATTAAAGATGCTGGAGTCCTTTGAGTACTCAGATTACTTTTGGTTCTTCTTGTGCAGATTGCTAACTCTTGTAAATGACCATTTTTCCCGATTTCTCTCATCCAACCAGAAAAATGAGGTGTGTTTCCTTTGGTCTACCTGTTAAATTACCAGAAGTCAAAATCTTTTACACTGTTCCAAACATTGGGACGAGTGACTTCTCCTCTTACGTAAGTACGTGTCTTGGTTTTGCAGATAGAGGCCATGCATCAGGATTTAAGCCGTTCTGCTATTGCAGTTTATACTGGAACCAGCAGTGAAGAGAATGTTAATCGAATGACTCAGCCAAGTAATGGTGATTCGTTTCTTGCCAAAAAGCTGTCTTCAGAAGGTACACATCGAGGAGCCTCCTACGTAAGGAGTAGGTTACCTATGCTACCTCTTCTAGACCTTCATAAGGATCATGATGCAGACAGCCTTCCATCGCCCACAAGGGAAACAACACCAAGTTTACCAGTAAATGGTCGCCATACAATGGCTAAACCAGGTTTTCCCGCTGGTAGAGAGAGCCAAACGACTGAGGGTGCCAAAGTCTATCCATATGAGAGTGATGCCCTTAAAGCAGTTTCTACCTACCAGAAAAAATTTGGTCTTAATTCAGTGTTTAAGACAGATGACCTTCCAAGCCCAACACCATCAGGAGAACCTAATGATGGCAATGGAGACATTGGTGGAGAGGTTTCTAGTTCTGTTGTTAAGAGCTCGAATCCAGGGACTCTCCTAAATTATGGGCAAGACGTTCCTCTGCCCTCCAATTTTAATTCTAGAAGCATGCCTGTTGCAAATGCTGTTTCTGGCACTGTTCCACCACATCATTTGTCAATTCATACTATTTCTGCACCAACTGGTTCTACTCAAACAGTTCTTGCATCTGATCAGACAGTGAAACCTTCTGCAAAGAGTCGCGATCCAAGACTAAGGCTTGCGAAACCTGATGCTGCCAATGTAACCATCAATTCGTACTCGTCTGGCGATGCTAGAAATCTTTTTAAAGTAGAGCTTTCTGCAGACTTGGTGAATCCAAGAAAACAAAAAGCCGCTGCTGAACTTTTTATTGATGGGCCTGCATGGAAAAGACAAAAGAGTGATACCGATGCACCAAAAGCAGCTGGAATTGGTGGCTGGCTAGAGGATACAGAATCATCGGGACTTCCAAAACTGGAATCCAAGCCTAGGCTTATTGAGAACGGTGTAACATCTATGACAACAAGTGTTATGCCCACGAGTGCTGTTTCTGTGAGCCAAAAAGTACCGACAGCTTCAACTGACGTTGCATCATTGCAATCTCTTTTGAAGGATATTGCAGTAAATCCAACAATGCTACTGAATCTACTTAAAATGGGAGAAAGGCATAAGGTACCTGAAAAAGCTCTTCAGAAACCCATGGATCCAAGAAGAGCAGCACAACTTCCTGGCTCTTCCGTGCCACCAGGGGTATCAGCAGCGCTTAGTATACCTGCATCAAATTCTTTAGCTGCTAATTCTTCAAAGCCGGGAGTACTTCAGGATTCTTCCCAAAACGCCCCCGCAGTGAGTATCCTATATATATGTAGAACCTTTTCTTTCAATTTTTTCTTTCAACTCATTTCTGGTATCTTCAGGACGAATCTGGAAGCATTTGCATGAAACCTCGTGATCCTCGCCGAATCCTGCATGGAAGTACTCTTCAAAGAACAGACTCTTCAATGGAAAAGCAGTCCAAAGTGAATGATTCCTCCACTATTGGAACCTTGACTATGAAGGGTAAGAAAGAAGATTTAGTATCACCTTCCCAGCTTGTTCCACGGCAAAATATTAGCCAAAATGGTACCAGCAAAATGAAAATTTCGGGTGAACTTCTCAGTGGAAAGACACCAGATTTTTCAACACAATTCACCAAAAATCTGAAAAATTCTGCTGATATGGTTGTCGTATCACAACAAGTTGGTAATCCCCCAGCAAGTATGCATTCAGTACAGCTTAAGACGGAGAGAGATGTTAAACAGAATCCTTCAAATCCCAATGACCAGGAGGAGGATGTGTCAGTTTCAGCAGCATCAGTAACAGCTGCAGCTGGTCCCACTCGTTCCATGAACAGTTGGGGAGATGTGGAACACCTATTTGAAGGATATGATGACACGCAGAGAGTAGCTATTCAAAGAGAGAGAGTTCGGAGGTTAGAGGAACAGAAGAAAATGTTTGCATCTCAGAAGCTCTCTCTTGTCTTGGATATAGACCACACCCTTCTCAATTCAGCTAAGGTTCGTTTATCTCCCTTCTGGTTTGAATAATTTTGTCTTATATTCTTTCTTAAGTTGTTCATTTTTATCATTTTCAGTTTAATGAGGTTGAATTCCGCCACGAGGAGATATTGAGAAAGAAGGAGGAACAAGATCGTGAGAAACCATATAGACATCTCTTTCGCTTCCCCCACATGGGAATGTGGACTAAATTGAGACCAGGGATTTGGAATTTTTTGGAGAAGGTGATTCAGTTATTAATATTTTCTTACTGTTCAACTCTGTGTGTAAGACTTAAATGTAACTTTTCCTGTGAATTTTAGGCTAGCAAGCTGTACGAGTTACATCTTTACACTATGGGCAACAAATTGTATGCTACAGAGATGGCCAAACTGCTTGATCCCAAAGGGGTTCTCTTTAATGGACGGGTCATATCGAAAGGAGATGATGGAGATCCTCTCGATGGAGACGAACGAGTACCTAAGAGCAAAGATTTAGAAGGAGTTATGGGTATGGAATCGTCTGTGGTGATCATAGATGACTCTGTCCGAGTGTGGCCTTATAACAAAATGAATTTAATAGCTGTTGAAAGGTATCATCTTTCACATTATGGCTAACATGAGACCGTAGTACTTGCTTACTGTATAATACTTGTATGCTGATGTTAATTATCTCGTGTTGCAGATATCTTTATTTTCCTTGTAGTAGACGGCAATTTGGGCTTCTTGGTCCTTCTCTTCTTGAGTTAGATCGCGACGAGGTACCTGAGGAGGGCACATTGGCATCTTCATTAGCGGTCTGCACTTTGTCTATGCACCTTATTATGTTAATTTTCTACTATTCGTTTTGGATCTCAGCATCATCACATGGTTTCATTGTGCAGGTTATTGAGAAAATACATAAAAATTTCTTCTCGCACACTTCACTAGACGAAGTGGATGTGAGAAATATTTTAGCTTCCGAGCAACGAAAGATATTGGCTGGTTGTCGGATTGTATTTAGTAGGATAATCCCAGTGGGTGAAGCCAAACCGCACTTGCATCCCTTGTGGCAAACTGCTGAGCAGTTTGGTGCTGTCTGCACAACCCAGGTGGATGAACATGTCACTCATGTTGTCACAAATTCTCTTGGAACCGACAAGGTAAGGAAGTCTGCAAAATTAAACTGTTGGGCCGAAGAAGAAATATTGTTGGGAGATTCTGAATGTGTTTGTTTGAGCAGGTAAATTGGGCACTAACCAGAGGTAGATTTGTTGTTCATCCTGGCTGGTAAGGCTCTCTTGGTCTCCTCGTAAAGATAGAAAAAATAACTGGTCTCTTCCTGTTTGTAATAGTTTTCATCGTCTGAGTGTAGGGTGGAAGCATCAGCTTTTCTGTACCAGAGAGCAAATGAGAACTTATATGCCATCAACCCGTAAACCAAATCCATTTTCCGCCCTCTTAATATCCCCACCATCAGGTGGAATTGAGACTTAAGAAGGCCATAAAACCCAATAGGTCATATTGGGTTGATTAGGCTAGGCCCCCGGGGGTACATACGCATTCTTTTGCCCGCAAAAGAGGCAATTCATCATTAAAATGCCAAAGGTATTGGGGCTATTAACAAAACGAACTCCACATTGTATCAATGGTCTAGAATAGATCTACTAACTTGGGGAGGGTGAAGGAAAGTAGTCTGTCTCTGGATCTAACAAAATAACACCAGAAAGACCCAGCAGTAGAAAGTGTGATGTGCCAGGGTCACGTGCCAAAGGAGAGGAACATGTTCAATTTTGGTTCTCATCTGTTGATTCATGATTGGTAGGTTTGCTCCGATAAATGTTTATTGTGCTATTTATGTCTCTTGTTGGAAGCAATTCTGATGGGGTACCAAGGCAACAAAGAAGAGAACAAAGCTTTGATTGAAATGTTCATATGCCTTACTAATCCCCAGAACTAAATGTGGTGGAGAAAGCAAATTCATTGAGCAAGACAAACAGAGACCACATTAAACTGTTACTTGACCTCTAAGTTATTGGTAATGGATCATTTATTAACCGTAAAACCGCAATGGACTATACTAAATACTCTTAAGGGTACTATCAATTGGTAAATGACTGAATGGATTTTGGCACGTCTTTGCATTCTCCAGGTACTGATTCTTCTGATGAATATTTTAGAACACAAAAAAAAAAAACTCTTAAGAACTCAGAAATGAATCATCAGAATCTCTCTATAGTATGCACCATTTGGGTAATCGATTCGATTATATGAAGACTATTACAGCTACAAAAAGTTGCTGGTGAAAATCATTAAACACAAACTAGGTTTACCCCGGCCCAATACTCTGTCTGGATTATTTTCAATGTGTGTATTTTCACTATTTTGATAAGTAGAATATGATTATCTTCATGTTTAAGAGGTAGATGTAAATTTGGAATGTAATAAATATAAACTATGATAGTGTTGAAAAGAAAAAGAAATGATAATATTAATGTATCCATCGTATAGTAGAGAGAGTCATGATGATTACTATTTTTGAAGATCGACTCATCTGATGTAGTGATGTTAAAAATGAAAAAAAAAAAAAAAAAAAAAAAAAAAAGACTCCTCTGATACTATAATGATCATTACTGTTGATGGGAATTTATTTAACATAATCTGCATTTTTATTATATTTTTATTTAATGTATCCATCGTAGTAGAGAGAAAGTCATGATGATTTCTATTTTTGAAGATCGACTCATAGGATATAGTGATGTTAAAAATGAAAGAAAAAAAAGACTCCTCTGATATTATAATGATCATTACTGTTGATGGGAATTTATTTAACATAATGTGCGTTTTAATTATATTTTTTTGATAAAAGTACATTTTAATTTTGTGTAGAATAAATGGGATATTCTTCATAACATGTGGATAAGGAGAAAAACTTGTCGTTTGTTAAAAGCCGAGGGAAATGGGCGACGAGGATCAAACTAGGGAGAGTCAAGACCACGGAAAGATGAATGATGAGCTTACCAATCCGAAATCTAGGGTTTCGTTGTTTCAATGTGTGTGACAAAGATTGAATTTTTTAAACGCACTTGTAGATGTTTATTTCCAACGTTATATTCCTTTCATACAATTAAGAGCAACTTTTGGAAAAATTTATTTTGATTAGTGGTAGTTTTTTAAATGATTGTATTTCTAGTTGAAAGTCAGATCTCCCATGTAACAAAACAATTCTTGCAGGCTAACATATGCAGTTGATGATGATTTGTACTTTGAATTAATGTTACATATTGATTAACAAATTCAATATATCTAGTATCTTTTATTTTATTTTTAGCCATTCAATATATCTAGTATATGTTCTACTAAGTAAGGGTGAATCTTTCCGAGAGTATCTTTGCTAACTTTATCATGAATATCAAGTTCATATATAGTATTATCCTATTGTTAGCATATATTTGATACAATAAAGATAAAGAGAAAAAGGGGAGACAAAAGGTATGAAATTGGGTGATACTACATAAGAAGTGGGTGTGTGATAGGCATGCGGCTCTCAAATTTAATAGTCCCCACCACATCATACACTTTTGCCCCATTTCTCGAATCTTAATAGAACAAGCTAGCTTTTGTTAACTATTGGAGAGGGTGGTCTTGAGAATCATAGCACATATTGATTTCTAATTATGTTAATGAACTTTTTCTTCCAAAGTTTTGACTCTTTTCAATCTGACCTAACTCTTTATGTAACTTCCAAACCAGATTAGCAATGGTATATTATATACAAAAGCACACCAAGATATATGGCAAGATACAAAAGTGTCTTAGGATTGAAAGATGCAACTTTTAAATTATTGGTCTTGGGATTGGTTTTTTTTTTTGTGTGGGTGTGTGTGGATTTTACTACTATTTTAGTAGGGGTGTCCAATTAAGTACAAATAAACTATAATTCTTTTTCCCATCTAAATTTTACAGATTTAGCTGTCTCAAAATGTACATTCTCTACATTATTCAAAAACACTATGTACATCATTCTTAAAATAAAGAGTAGGCCATGATAACTCAAATTTGTATCCAACAAAGTTAGTATATTGAGAAGCACCACTTGACTCAAGTAACTAAGCACCTGCCAAGCCAATATACCTTTAAACCATAAGGCAGGAAACGCAAAAAAGTATCGAATGGTGAGATTCGAGACACTAACTTGTTTAGAGACAAGATTCACTTTTATTTATTACTTATTGGGTTTTAAAACTGTACTAGTGTAGATAGAAAAAAAAATAAACAGTTTGTTTTGTAACATGTAGATTTTTGGAAAATTAACCTTGTCAACAGTAGATTGTATTTGTTTTAAAAATAATACAATACTATCTGCAAATGGATTCGTCTATTTTGTTCCGCCATTACCATTTGAACCAAAAAATATAATTAAGTTAATTAACACATAGGAATTGAATGTCTGAGTGTATGCGTTTCTCCTTGTAATTCGTAAGTGAAGATAGAACCTAAATAATGATTAAAGAACACAATGTAATTAGTATTAAAACATAGTACTACTAAAAAAAAAAAAAAAAAAAAAAAACATAGTACTAGTAAAGTTAAAAATGAATGAGTATGGAAAATAGAGGATGAGAGACGAGAGGTGAGAAGGTGGGGATGGGCCAGTAAACACTCTTTTAGCCAACCTATAAAGGCAAAAGTTGTTTTCAGTTTCAGACCAAATTGAATTTGTCTTTGATAGAGGCATAATTGTGTGCATTGGCCTTGCAAATGCCATTGCGAGAAGCTCTTTTTAACACCCACATCTTTTCTCTATAATTTCCCAAATTTCTTGGCTTATCTTACTTGAGTATATTTTCTCTACCATGCTTATAGAAACAGGACCACATTCATGTCCTTTTCCAACTTTTTAATAATTTAAAAATAAAAACAAATTAAATAGATAAATTTAAGAAAAAATGGTAAAGGATAATGAGACTTTTTGGAATTTGAGTGAAGTCCAGCCACGCCAAGCTCCATCTGCTGATCACTCACTGACTTAAAAACATGACCAACCGTTTCTTACCTTTCTTCATTGTTTACTCATGTTTTTTGTGAAAAGTTAATTGTAAGATTTCTATGACACAATAAGTTGAATACATCAATCACCTCTTGACCAGAAAAAAAGGAAGAAACTAGCATCACCTTAATGGCTTACATAAACAATAATTATATCTACACCATGTTCACAATATATAGCTCTATCTTCAAAGACTTCATTCATTGGAATGCCATTATATATAAAAACAATAAAATAAAAAAAGTTTTAAGAAACTTTTACCTGTGAATCACGCGGCTTACGGCTTTTGCAGAGAAGAAAAAATATTTACAAAATACTCGATATTCACAAAAAAGTGATTTCTTGATATAAATGCCATACCAAATGCAAAAACAAAAAACAAAACCCAAAAGTCATCTTCTCTATTGACTTAGAGAAAAGCCACAATGTCTCGCCTACAATGCCTAACAATGGCGACTGCACTAATTCTGCTTCAAGCTCTGAGTTCAGTAAGCTCAACTATCCTATCCCGGGCCGATCGGATCACCCGTTTACCGGGTCAACCCCGGGTCGGGTTTCAGCAGTACTCGGGTTATGTTACTATTGACGATAAGAAACAGAGAGCTCTGTTTTACTACTTGGCTGAAGCAGAAACCAAACCCATCTCAAAACCTCTCGTCCTCTGGCTCAATGGAGGTAAAATATTAGGATCTTTCATCTTCTTGATTACAGTTTGAAACCTAAAGATTAGAAAGAAAACAAAAGGTTGAAATCTTTTTGAGTAAAACGCAGGACCTGGATGTTCATCATTAGGTGTTGGTGCATTCTCTGAGAATGGACCTTTTAGACCAAAAGGATCAGTCTTGGTGAGGAATCTACACAGCTGGAATCAAGGTTAGTCCTCCTTGGATCATTCCAATCTTACATCTTTTTGTACTAAATTGATTTCGATTCTTTTTTTTATTCAAAATTGTGCAGAGGCTAATATGTTGTATCTGGAGACACCTGTTGGAGTTGGATTTTCTTATGCAACTGAGAGCTCCTCTTATGAGGGTGTGAATGATAAGATCACTGGTAAATTTATTAAACTGAACTTTCTCTATTTCATTCCAGTTATAACTCAAACTCTGGAAATTTTCTCTCATCTTTAGGCTTAGTAGAAGAAACCCAAATTTTGTGTCTTTTGTCCCTTTTTCTACTTTTAGTAAAAAGTTAGCAAAATTACTTGATTTTTGTATTCACCAGGTAACAATAGTAAACCTATTTTCAGACAAAAACTTAAAACTTGTCTAGATAATTGTGATGTTTCTAGTTTTACATGTTCAAGTTTTTTTTTGTTCATTGTTTTTGGTCGAGTAACAAATGAGTGCTCTTAATTTTGTCATGATGATATTGGAGTGCATGCGATCTGTTTCTTGTTTGGTCGCTTTTTAAAAGAAAATAAATACTATAATATAGTTACCAGAAAAATTTCAGCTTTTGTTAGTTGTTTTTTCTCAGTCTGACAAAAAGAGAAAAAAGAAATAAAAAATCGACCTTTTTGCAGAATTCAGATCACATCTGAGGATTATTCTCTTCTTCTTTGTTTCTTTTTGTTTGTCTTCACATATCAAACATTCTAATCTTTGTCTTTTGTGTCCATTTTGGAATAAAAATTTGCAGCAAAAGACAATCTTGTGTTCTTGCAAAAATGGTTCCTCAAGTTCCCTCAATATCTCAATAGAAGTCTTTTCATCACTGGTGAAAGCTACGCTGGTAAAGATTGCTCTGTTTCTCTTTAAAGAAACCGTAGTTTTGTCGCGAAAATGTATTAACTAAATTGCAAATATTTAGGCCATTATGTTCCTCAGTTAGCTCAGCTTATGATTCAGTACAACAAGAAGCACAATTTGTTTAATCTCAAAGGCATTGCTGTGAGTTTCTTCTTCATATTCTCCACAACATTTTCATTTGTAATTCCGGTTATGTTCTGCTTTAATTCAACTCTTGGTTTTGTAGATTGGCAATCCGGTTATGGAGTTTGCGACGGATTTCAATTCACGAGCGGAGTATTTCTGGTCTCACGGGTTGATATCGGATCCAACATACAAAATGTTCACATCTTATTGTAATTACTCGCGATATGTGAGTGAGTACTATAGAGGATCAGTGTCAAGTATGTGCACTAAAGTGATGAGTCAAGTTAGCATCGAAACAAGTAGATTCGTAAACAAATATGACGTTACTCTTGACGTTTGCATTCCCTCTGTGCTATCTCAATCCAAAGTTGTTAACCCTCAACCTCAAGTAAGTTCAGAAACCAATAAGTTTTTAAAACTCTTGTTTTAGTTTTTTCTTATGCTGATTTCTTCGAATGATGTAGCAAGTGGGAGAGACTGTGGATGTGTGTGTAGAAGATGAGACGGTGAACTATCTTAACCGGAGAGATGTGCAAAAAGCTCTCCATGCTCGGCTTGTCGGAACTCGCAAATGGGCTGTTTGCAGCAAGTAATAGCATTCCTTTCGTAAACATTTAACTGAAATTGCCTATTCAGGTTTTCGGTTCGGTTTTAAGAAATGTACAACGGATTAGTTACTATATTTGTTTCGTTTTATTGTGATGACAATAGTGTGCTGGATTACGAAGTACTTGATGTGGAAGTACCAACGATTAATATTGTAGGAAGTCTGGTTAAAGCTGGAGTTCCGGTTCTTGTGTACAGGTAAATCAAGGTTTCTAATGAAGTTATCAAGTTCTGTTACACTTGTCCTGATGTTTCTTTTGCAATGATAACAGCGGAGATCAAGATTCTGTGATTCCGTTGACTGGAAGTAGAACATTAGTGAAGCGACTGGCTGAAGAGTTGGGACTGAGAACAACCGTGCCTTATCGAGTTTGGTTCGCAGGACAACAGGTGAGCATCATGACTCTAAAATCTAAGACTGCTCAATTCGTGGTTATTTAGGTTTTTCGATGTTTTTGAATCTACTTTTGATAGGTTTCGGTTCGGATACAGATTTTTTCGAATATTTAGGAGACGTAGTAACAAAGATTTGGTGTAACAGGTTGGTGGGTGGACTCAGGTTTATGGGAACACATTGGCGTTTGCAACTGTGAGAGGAGCAGCCCACGAAGTACCATTCTCGCAGCCCGCGAGAGCGCTCGTGTTGTTTAAAGCATTTTTGGGTGGTCGTCCTCTCCCTGAAGATTTCTGATGTTTTCACCAGTTTATAAGCTTGTAAGTAATCATTGGTGAACGATGTCAAAAAGAAAAGTACACATTGGTGAACAATGTCCCAAAATGGCTATATTTGATTCAGGGCGAGAAAAGAAAATACTTGGAAATTTGTTTTTGTAAAGACATGCATGTATCGTTCTTGAGTTTTCAAGATTTCAAAAGAAAGATGTAAAAAAAAAGATCGAATTTTGTTTGTTTATATTATTAGAACACAAGAATCTAATTTGCCCAACACAACACATAAAGCAGATCAAACATAAATCATAGAGAGTGTAACAGTCTCATCACATAGTAGAATTAATAACGAGTTCGAAAGCAGCACTGTTCCACGAACCAGCAACAACATAGCGTCGTCAAACTGCATCATTCCCAAACAAGTAACAGACATTAAATTTGTTTAAAACAAATCTACTTCTAAATTCTTAATGGTTTTATCAAATTGATGCAATTTCACATAAGATGACATTATTAATAGTTTTTTGTAAATTAAGAAACCAAAACCTCTTTGGCACATTCTCAAGGGAGATTTTTATAAATATACTAAATATAATTAGAAATTTGAAGGTTACACCCAATTTTATAGTAATTTGAAAACTACTATTTTCTTGTTAAACATTGACCATAATACCCTTTATAATAATTTAAGTATTATTTAACTATTAATTTTAAATTCTATAAATTAAATATAAAATTAATTTTTAACGGTTATATTTAATAAATTTAACTAGAAAACGCAATTAATTTTTTAATAATAAAACATTATGAAAAATATTAAAAAAGTATTTACAATGGTTACTTTAATCTTAATCTAAAATTTTGAATAAATAAAAATAGAAAAAAATATTGTTGATAATATTATTTATATTCATAATTTATTAAAAAAAAAGTAATTTAAAATTATATATTCTATAATAAATAAAATAATAATTTATATATTTTTCCTCCATATTCTTCTGTAGACTTATTTCATTTTATGTTGATTTATTAATAAAGTCGATTTTTTTGAACTAACGACTTATTTTTTACTTCTATTGACTTAATTTTTTGCACCTTCGACTTTTTTTAAAACAGTCGATTTATGTTTTGGCTCGTTGATTTATAACATAGTCGATTTTTTGAACTATTGACTTAATATTTTTGTTCATCGATTTATATATTTTTTATGTCGACTTGTTTATTCATGAAAGACTTACTTCATTAAATGTTGACTTATTAATAAGGTCGGTTTCTTTAACTGACGACTTATATTTTATTTACGTCGACTAAATTTATTTTCTATCGATTTCTTTTAAAACAATCAGACTTATATTTTTGTTGATTGGTTTTTTACATAGACGACTTTTTTAAACTGTTGACTTATTTATTATTATTTTTTTTTCCCGTTGACTTATTTATTCTTGGAAGATTTATTATATTTTACGTTGATTATTAATAAAGTAGACTTTTTGAACCGTCGACTTATTTTTTTTTTTAATCGACTTAATTTTATTTTCTATCGACTTAAATTAAAACAGTCGACTTATATTTTGGTTCATTGATATTTTACATTGTGGACTTTTTGAACTACTGATTTTTTAAGGAAATTAGATAATTATTATTTGGCTATATAATTATACTTGTAATTACTAAGAAATAAATATATTGTATTTAAATAACCAAAAATCTAGATAATATTTTATTATATATTTAGATTTATTTCAATTTAGTTTTTTCGTAACTATATAATTATTTTTTAATTTAAAACAAATTAATAAAATACTCATCATCATCTAAATCTTAAATAAATAAATAAAAAATCTAAAAAAATATTTATTGGGATCACACAATAGGTTTAATAACTGATTATTTGATCAGACTATAGTCGGTTGAACATGCATACTAAAATTTTAGTTAGTTTAAAAATAAATTAATAAATATTTAACTTACAATGACATGTAACAATAAATTCCGTATTTTGTTGGGAAGTTACTTTCGAAATTTTGTATGATTGTTCGAAGACGGTAAACTGTGAATGATTGTTCGAAGTTCAAATCAAATGCATAGAAGACACAGTGGTGAGAGAGCCGGACGTCGTTGAAGAGAATCGACTTTTGATTTTTTTTTTTTTTTGGGATATTATCTGTTAGATTTAAATATATCATTATCTAAATTTTGGATCAAAAATAATTAAAAACAAAATACCTATAACGGAAAAAAAAAACAAAAAATATGGTAAACAAATTTTCTAAAATATTTTGAATATCTGTTTTTTTCTTCAAAATATAAACAATTTAATTTTAATTTTAAAATAATATATTTATATAACTAAATAATCAATTCATTTTATTTTTATTTTCTGATTTTTTAATTATTGATTAAGGGCAAAAATGTCATTTTAGGGAAAAATAGGGTATGTTTCAAATATTTTAAAATTATGGTGTAGTTTTCAAATTTCTATTAAGATACAAGGTACCCATTCAAATTATTTCTTCTCAAAATGTATAAAACTTAAATTAAAAATTGGAAATTACCAGCTTCTTAGAAAAGGAAAGCAACCAACATATTCTCCTTCTCTATAGTATTCATCTGATCTATATGGACGCAGCGGCGGGGGATGAGGCTGACCGTAGCCACCGTAGTAGTCTTGATATCTTGTTCTGGTTGGTGGATACGGTGGTGGCGGAGCCTCTATTATCGGTTGGTACAATGGCGAAGGACCTACAAAATCCATACAAAGATATATACACATGCATGGGATTAATTCAGTTCATCAAGTTCTTTTTTTTGGTAAAATGTAAAATAAGTTCATCTAGTTGTTACACATATATAGAAATAAATTTACCAAGAAGAAAAAGTTTATAAAAAAAGTTTTGAGAATTGCCTGGTGGTCGATAAGACTCATGAGAAACATGGTAAGATGCCATTGTGAACCTTTAGATTTGCAAACTCGTTTTGGCAATGGAAAGTTCAAAGAAGTTTGATTTTTAAAAAGTGATCTTTAGAGGATTATTTCACAAGATATCATACAAGAAGACATCTCTCATTTTATTTTATGAAATCGATATGAAGTTGTGGTCTAAAATGAAGAGGTTAGTTTTATCGACGGGAAGGCACTTGGCAATAGTTTGTCGACGTGTTAGCTTCCAAACACCGTGACGAGCTAATTTGCAGTTTTTCCGGTTTAATCAATTTGGGCCGGTGCCTTCCGGTTTGGCTTGATTTTTAAATTTCCAAGTCCTCTTGCTTTCTCATATTCGTTTTGGTCATCTAGAATAATATAAATCGAATAATATAACACGGTAAGTGTTTCCGTTTAGTTTGGTCCCATCATAGTTTCTTGTTGTAGTAACTCTGTTCTCTCTTTATCGACAAAACTAATATGTTTTGGTTTGATTGGTCTAACTCAGATTTTGGTCAATTTGGTTTAAGTACTTGATTTGATGGAATCCAAATCAAAATCCAGATAAATCCTGATTTTGGTTTCAATATTTTGAGATGTACTTGGTTTATGCGAAACTAGTATTATGGCCCGCATAGTAATTTCATATTTTTAGATCATTAGTTTCTATATTGTTTAACAATTCATAAACTAGTACATGGCCCGCATAAATTGTTTCTGCCCATACTAATGATGGAAGACAAAAAAGGTTCTCTAAAAAAGTCACCTTTCTTAACAGTCATTTTATAAGTATGCAATTTAAAGTGCTCTATTAAGGCTACGCATGGGAGGACATTTGTTGTTTTTCCACTTTGCAACTATTCTTCCCAATTATGACACAAACTGTTTCAAAGCAGCAAAGTCATGTATCCCTATTTGTTATTTAAACATCAATAGAATTACAAAATAACTTACTCTTTTGTGAACCGCAGGTTTAGGCTGAGTGGAATCACACATATTGCAACTTGCCTTGAACCAAAAATTGACATTGGCACAATTGGGACATGTCACAAGTCTAATCATTTTCCCTACGAACCCCTATTTTTAACCAATAACCCATATTTGATGTATGATGAACATGCACTATTTTGAGACTCAGATTTGTAAGATAATGTAATTGACAAAAGAATAACATATATTTTTATACATCATTACGAGTATGAATATTAAAGATTTAATGATCCAAAGATCGGGAACGCCTTCAGTTTCACATTACAATTTAGTTCCTCAAAGAATGATGTTTTAGGCTTTCACACAATATTTTTAAAAAATAATTCTTACATTTTCTAATTATTTGTAATTAGTTTAATAATATTAACTCTATTTTTCTCTTGGTTATTGGTGAAAAATAAAAATAATCATGATAATACAAAACATCAATCTTTACGAAACAAACATAAAAACTCAAAAAATCATTTCTTAGAAACATAAGAAGTATATATTTTTTTTGAACAATTTCCAACATATGATAATAAACATACCTTTATATTTTTGAACAATTTGTATTAAAAACGAATTATATCAAAATATAAACCCCAATACTAAAAAAATTAAAAACTATTAACCTTGCTCATTGTATCTCTCTATTCCTTAGTAAGCTGTTTCTTTTGATTTTATTACCCACTCTGGTTTAGTTTCTCCGTTTTTGGAGTTTTGCTTTTTTTTTTTTTTTGGACTTTGCTTCTCTTTTTTGGGTTTTGAATCCGAAGATCTTTAGTTTTTCCGCCCGCTTTTGTATTCCAAATATATATTTTTGTTGTTGTTATTAATCAAATGAGATGACCAAAAAAAAATATCCATTCTCCTTGTATTAGTCGATAGATTGGAATATTTGATCATCTCTTTTTTTGATTTTTTTATCTCCTTTTATTTTTACCCCTGGATTAAAAAATAAAAAGAACAAGGTTTACAAGAAAATTTAGTTTGAAATCCCTTTATCAAAAAAGACAATTTAGTTACAATTTTAAATAAGGATTCTGATGCAACAAAAAGGAAAACTATGAAATCTGGAGTCACATGAAGCAATCATTATGATTAGTACTCGCCTTTATTATTTAAGAGGCGCGCGATTCCTCAGGGCTCATTTCATTGACCAACTTTAATGCAACTACTCTTCCTCACATCCCATTCACATTATATTCTCTTTCAACTTGTAAAGCAAGAAAATTTCAGACTCATTTTAACATTTTACCT